TAGAGAAATATGTCTGTTGCCTTATTCCTTATTATGGAAAACTTCATTCATTATTACTACTACAAATACTATTTATTTGCAGGGAGATAAAGCGCATGTAGGATTCCCAGAGATTGCATATGGACGGTATTCATCATCTCTCATAGAAAAGGGTTACAAAGTTGCACGTATTGAACAAACAGAAACTCCAGAAATGATGGAAAAGCGCTGCAAGACCTGTAAGTATCTATCTTATGTCACCTTGTTTAATAAGTTTTTGAGAATGGCCTTTTAGTCTCATTGTGTCGGACTTTTCGGGGATGTGATTTCTCTGTTTTGTTCTGGATTTACGTTTTTTTTTTTTTCCCCATTGTTTTAGGCGACCCATGTAAATTGCATAGATCCGTTGAGAAATATTGGGGGGGGGGCGTATGGCCATGGTGACAGAAATGTTTGACACTCGACAGAAATGTTTGACAATAACTAATAATAATTGGCCCTCTGGGGTGGATGGGTCAGTTTACGATGAGCCAGTATACTGAGTATAGTGGCAACACAATACATATTCCTGCATTACATCATATACTCTATTTCTCATTGGCTTAATAGTGCTTCCTTTGCAATCCATTCTTCGATTCTTTAGTATTTCATTGACCAAAGATCGAAGACGTCATACAACGCCACTATTGGAAGCATTGTAATATGCCCCTCCACCCTATCAACTTGATTCAGCCTCCCCTGCCCCACTGGCTAAGCATTTGTTAATATAACAAAGTTTCTATAATCATTTTATACTTTCTGATGATCACAATTTATTCCATAACCCATATGCCATATTTTATGGTTGCATAGGCAACTCAGTAGGGCGTGTTTGGTTCCCCCCCAGGAGGTCAGGGCTATGGGACGTGTTTGGTTCCCCCCCAGGAGGTCAGGGCTATGGGACGTGTTTGGTTCCTCCCCAGGAGGTCAGGGCTGTAGGGCATATTTGTGTCCTCCCCAGGAGGTCAGGGCTATGGGACGTGTTTGGTTCCTCCCCAGGAGGTCAGGGCTATGGGACGTGTTTGGTTCCTCCCCAGGAGGTCAGGGCTATGGGGCGTGTTTGGTTTCCGGAGGTCAGGGCTGTAGGGCATATTTGTGTCCTCCCAGGAGGTCAGGGCTATGGGGCGTGTTTGGTTCCTCCCAGGAGGTCAGGGGCTATGGGACGTGTTGGTTTCCCCAGGAGGTCAGGGCTGTAGGCCATATTTGTGTCCTCCCAGGAGGTCAGGGCCTATAGGACGTGTTTGTGTCCTCCCAGGAGGTCAGGGCTATAGGACGTGTTTGTGTCCTCCCAGGAGGTCAGGGCTATAGGGCGTGTTTGGTCAGGAGGTCAGGGCTGTAGGGCATATTTGTGTCCCTCCCAGGAGGTCAGGGCTATGGGACGTGTTTGTGTCCTCCCCAGGAGGTCAGGGCTATAGGACGTGTTTGTGTCCTCAGGAGGTCAGGGCTATAGGGCGTGTTTGTGTCCTCCCAGGAGGTCAGGGCTGTAGGGCGTGTTTGTGTCCTCCCCAGGAGGTCAGGGCTATAGGGCGTGTTTGGTTTCCCCCCAGGAGGTCAGGGCTGTCGGGCATATTTGTGTGTCCTCCCAGGAGGTCAGGGCTATGGGCGTGTTTGGTTCCCCAGGAGGTCAGGGCTGTAGGGCATATTTGTGTCCTCCCCAGGAGGTCAGGGCTATAGGACATGTTTGTGTCCTCCTGGAGGTCAGGGCTATAGGACATGTTGTGTCCTCCCTGGAGGTCAGGGCTATAGGACATGTTTGTGTCCTCCCAGGTCAGGGCTGTAGGGCATATTTGTGTCCTCCCCAGGAGGTCAGGCTGTGGGCATATTTGTGTCCTCCCAGGAGGTCAGGGCTATAGGACATGTTTGTGTCCTCCCCTGGAGGTCAGGGCTGTAGGGCATATTTGTGTCCTCCCAGGAGGTCAGGGCTATAGGACGTGTTTGTATCCTCCCAGGAGGTCAGGGCTATAGGGCGTGTTTGTATCCTCCCAGGAGGTCAGGGCTATAGGACGTGTTTGTATCCTCCCCAGGAGGTCAGGGCTGTAGGGCATATTTGTGTCCTCCCAGGAGGTCAGGTCTATAGGGTGTTTGTATGCCTCCCCAGGAGGTCAGGGCTGTAGGGCATATTTGTGTCCTCCCCAGGAGGTCAGGGCTGTAGGGCGTGTTTGTGTCCCCCCCAGGAAGCCAGGGCTGTAGGGCATATTTGTGGTCCCAGGAGGCCAGGGCTGTAGGGTGTATTTGTGTCCTCTCCAGGAAGTCAGGGCTGTAGGGCATATTTGTGTCTTCCCAGGAGGTCAGGGCTGTAGGGCATGTTTATGGCCCCCCCAGGAGGCCAGGGCTGTAGGGTGTGTTATGTCCTCTCAGGAAGTCAGGGCTGTAGGGCATATTTGTGTCTTCCCAGGAGGTCAGGGCTGTAGGGCATGTTTATGGCCCCCCAGGAGGTCAGGGCTGTAGGGTGTATTTGTGTTCCCCCCAGGAGGTCAGGGCTGTAGGGCATATTTGTCCCCATAGGTCAGGGTGTTGGGGGCGTGTGTCCCAGGAGGTCAGGGTTGTAGGGTGTATTTTGTCCCCAAGGTGAGTCAGGGCTGTAGGGCATATTTGTGTCCCCCTCCCTAGGAGGTCAGGGTTGTAGGGCGTGTTGTGTCCTCAGGAGGCCAGGGCTGTAGGGCATATTTGTGTCCCCAGGAGGTCAGGGTTGTAGGACATGTTTGTGTCCTCTCCAGTAGGTCAGGGCTGTAGGGCGTGTTTGTGTCCCGGGAGGTCAGGGTTTGTAGGACATGTTTGTGTCCTCTCCAGGAGGCAAGCTGTAGGGCATATTTTGTGTCCCCAGGGTCAGGGTTGTAGGACGTGTTTGTGTCCTCAGGAGGCCAGGGCTGTAGGGCATATTTGTCTCTCCCAGGAGGTCAGGGCTGTAGTGCATGTTTGTGTTCCCCACAGGAGGTCAGGGTAGTAGGACGTGCTTGTGTCCTCTCCAGGAGGTCAGGGCTGTAGGGGTGTTGTGTCCCCCCAGGAGGTCAGGGTTGTAGGGTGTATCGTGTCCCCCCAGGAGGTCAGGGCTGTAGGGCATATTTGTGTCCCAGGAGGTCAGGGTTGTAGGGCATATTTGTGTCCCAGGAGGTCAGGGCTGTAGGGCATATTTGTGTCTCCCCAGGAGGTCAGGGTTGTAGGGCATATTGTGTCCCAGGAGGTCAGGGCTGTAGGGCATATTTGTGTCCCCCCAGGAGGTCACGGTTGTAGGGCATATTTGTGTCCCACCCCTCCCAGGAGGTCACGGCTGTAGGGCATATTGTGTCCCAGGAGGTGAGGCTGTAGGTGTTTGTGTCCCAGTCAGGGTTGTAGGGCGTGTTGTATCCCCAGGAGGTCAGGGCTGTAGGGCATATTTGTGTCCCCCCAGGAGGTCAGGGTTGTATGGCGTGTTTGTGTCCTCCCAGGAGGTTAGGGTTGTAGGGTGTATTTGTGTCCTCCCCCAGGAGGTTAGGGTTGTAGGGTGTATTGTGTTCCCAGGAGGTCAGGGTTGTAGGGTGTATTTGTGTCCCCCAGGAGGCCAGGGCTGTAGGGCATATTTGTGTCCCCCAGGAGGTCAGGGTTGTAGGGTGTATTTGTGTCCCAGCAGGTCATGGCTGTGTGCATATTGTGTCTCCCCCCACCCCCCCAGGAGGTCAGGGTTGTAGGGTGTGTTGTGTCCCAGGAGGTCATGGCTGTATTGCATATTTGTGTCCCAGGAGGTCAGGGCTGTAGGGTGTATTTGTGTCCCCCCCGAGGTCTGGGCTGTAGGGCATATTTGTCCCCTTGGAGGTCAGGGTTGTAGGATGTGTTTGTGTCCTGTCCAGGAGGTCAGGGCTGTAGGGCGTGTTGTGTCCCCCAGGAGGTCAGGGTTGTAGGGGTGTATTTGTGTCTCTCCAGGAGATCAGGGCTGTATGCATATTTGTCTCCCCAACCACCCAGGAGGTCAGGGCTGTAGGGCATATTTGTGTCCCCAGGAGGTCAGGGTTGTAGGGCGTGTTGTGTCCTCTCCAGGAGGTCAGGGCTGTAGGGCGTGTTTGTGTCCCCTTCCCAGGAGGTCGGGTTGTAGGGCGTGTTTGTGTCCTCTCCAGGAGGTCAGGGCTGTAGGGCATATTTGTGTCCCCAGGAGGTCAGGGCTGTAGGACGTGTTTGTGTCCTCTCAGGAGGTCAGGGCTGTAGGGCATATTTGTGTCCACCCCAGGAGGTCAGGGCTGTAGGACGTGTTTGTGTCACCCCTCCCCAGGAGGTCAGGGTTGTAGAGTGTATTTGTGTCCCCTCAGGAGGTCAGGGCTGTAGGGCATATTTGTGTCCACAGGAGGTCAGGTTGTAGGACGTGTTTGTGTCACCCCTCCCCAGGAGGTCAGGGTTGTAGAGTGTATTTGTGTCCCTCAGGAGGTCAGGGCTGTAGGGCATATTTGTGTCCCCCCTCCCCAAAGAGGTCAGGGTTTGTAGGACGTGTTTGTGTCCTCTCAGGAGGCCAGGGCTGTAGGGCATATTTGTGTCCACCCCCAGGAGGTCAGGGTTGTAGGACGTGTTTGTGTCCTCTCAGGAGGTCAGGGCTGTAGGGCATATTTGTGTCCCCCCCCAGGAGGTCAGGGCTGTAGGACGTGTTTGTGTCCTCTCCAGGAGGTCAGGGCTGTAGGGCAGTGTCCCCCTCCCCAGGAGGTCAGGGCTGTAGGACGTGTTTGTGTCCTCTCAGGAGGTCAGGGCTGTAGGGCATATTTGTGTCCCCCTCCCCAGGAGGTCAGGGCTGTAGGACGTGTTTGTGTCCTCTCCAGGAGGTCAGGACTGTAGGGCATGTTTGTGTTCCCCTAGGAGGTCAGGGCTGTAGGGCATGTTTATGGCCCCCCTGGAGGTCAGGGCTGTAGGGTGTATTGTCCCAGGAGGTCAGGGCTGTAGGGTGTATTTGTGTCCCCTGGAGGTCAGGGCTGTAGGGTGTATTTGTGTCCCAGGAGGTCAGGGCTGTAGGGCGTGTTTGTGTCCCCTCCCCATGAGGTCAGGGCTGTAGGGCATATTTGTGCTCCCCAGGAGGTTAGGGTTGTAGGATGTGTTTGTGTCCTCTCTCCAGGAGGCCAGGGCTGTAGGGCATATTTGTGTCCCCCCCTCCCAGGAGGTCACGGCTGTCGGGCATATTTCAGGTCCCCCCCCAGGAGGTCAGGGCTGTAGGGCATGTTTATGGCCCCCCCAGGAGGTCAGGGTTGTAAGGCATATCTCTCTCTCTCTCTCTCTCTCTCTCTGATGGTAGGAACATAAACCTCCAGCAGTAGTTATAGAAGCATGTTAAAGCAGAAGATGTTGTAGCAGGAAGAAAATAAGAGGAAATTTTTTTTTTAAGAAAACAGTGTGAGGAAATGACTACAAAATCAAGGAAGAGCAGAGAGGCCTTCTAGCAACAAAAACAGAAGTGTTTACTCTCCCTGGAAAAAAACTAGCTTATGCAATTAAAACTAAGAATAAAACAAAACAAAATGAGTGAATATTTCATGGGAAGAAAACTAAATATTTAGTTTGTATATATCATGGAACATGCTTGTTTTTCTTATTTTAGTACTACATATGCTATTGAACCCCAGTTGGTGGTCATTCTCACACAATACAATGCAAAAAAAGCTTACATTTTAGTTTATCTTCTCAATAATGGTGCACAATTAAAAATATTAAACAAATTCAAGTTTAGTAACAACTAAAATTTGTAAAGGAATTGTTAAGATTAAAACCATGAAAAATATCGTTGCAATATAGTGATCCCTCGGTTAACGAGCGCCTCGGTTAACGAGATTTTGGTTAACGATTTACCTTCCATAAGATTCTTAACTTCGGTTAACGAGCAATCCCTCGATTAACGAGTTTTTACGAGCCGACTTCAACATGTTTTCGCTTGCATTGGCGGTCCACCAGCTGTAGTATTAGTCCGCCAATACAGTAATCGGTTTTAGGGCTTAAATTCCTTACTATTTTAGTAAATATCAAGAAGTTTATACTATTCAATAATTTTAAAAGTTTAATATTAACTTTTTAGTCATTTTAACAATTATTGAACATAATTGAAGGTAAAGAAACTAGTTTCTGGCGTGCCATCCAGCTTGTTAACACACCAGACAGGCGTTAGTCTCTCTCTGTTTTCAGTGGAGGTAACATCTTGCTTGAGGCTCTCTTCAACTAAATGCTTTTTTTGTGTGTTTCCAAGCAAATTATTGGTCATTTTGAAATTTATTTTACATATTGACAATATATAATGCAGTGCAGTGTTGATTTAAAGAAAATAATCTTGAATTACACCAAGAGAACTAAAATTTTATGGGTGAAATGGGGCCATGGGGTGACTTCTCTCCCACCCCAATGCCTTCTCTTCTCCCTTCTCCTCCACCCCCATTCTAATTCCCATCATCATCATCATCCAGGAGCCTTCTACATACACACCTCAAAGTAAGTGTACTTTTCTACCTTTTTTGTTGAATTTAGGCAATTTTCGGTGAGCTGGAACCAATTACCCAAAAACCCATTGAAACAATGGTTTCGGTTAACGAGTTTTTCGGTTAACGAGCAACCTGCTGGAAAGGATTGTGCTCGTTAACCGAGGGACCACTGTAAACATACATGTTTGATTTTGGTTACTGAATATAATAATAATAATAATAATTAATGGTTTATTAAGATAACATGGCAGCCCTAAGGCTGAAAATATACAATGAACAGAGATGATAAGTTACATATGGTGGAAGCGGGGAGTGGGTCACTTGATTGACAAAAGCTTTTAATACAAAAATATATGAAACATAGAGTCAACATTAACTATAGATCTGGTACTGTGGGAACTGGTCTTGTAAACATTCTTGTTACCTGATATTGGCGCCACTGTCTGGATGGCCATCGTACCTGGGTGCTACCCCGCTACCTCACTACAGCTACAGATGTTAAGCACATCCACGACGTGGTCCGGGTAGGTCCTCCAGCTCACACAGCGTGTTGGAGATGGTTCTTGTTCCTCATGTGATGTAGTTTGGAATTCATAGTTCCTCACCTGGGTGGAGTAGGGAGTCCTCATTTCTCTCCTAATGTAGTTTGGAGTCTTTCTTGGCTTCTCATCCAGTGTTGGTGGTGGCGAGTGTACCGCGGACTGGGTGTGTCTGGTCCGCGTCAGGTCAACATTGACCGCTAAGCACTGATTGTCACTCACAGTTGTTTCTTTCTTTCAAGTTGAAACTGTCATTTTTGTATATCACTCGTGGGTTGATCATCAATCTTTGCACTGTACTGTTGGTGGGAGGATGTTGATAAATCCTGATGGGGAGGAGGAGATGGGGAAGGCCTGACAGATCAGGCTGGCAGCTGTCTCCATGGTCAGAAGACCACGGCCGCCTCAGAGGGCAGCTTCGACTGCAAACATCCTCACCTTATGAAGGCTGAAGACTGATGGGCGCTCAAGAAATGAGTAACAATGTGATAAATTAAGTTAAATATGGTAAAAACTTCCAAAGACCCAATCACATCCCTGACTTTTATAACGTGTATACTAGTGGTTCATTTGGCCCACTAGTCACTTGGTATTACAAAAAAAATCCTATTTTATGCGCAACTAACTCACTCACTCTTAGTCTTTTATTATGTTTTAAGAATTATGGAATTGATAGCACGTTACCCTCAAATGCCCTGCCAAGCTGAATTTCCCCAATGAGAATATATTTTTAATTTAAACATAAACAGTCATTTTTCCTGAAGATCCTCCACCATCATTGTCCAGCAGTGTGGCAGTTACTCCATTTTATGAGATGATATATTGTACAGGTATTTTGAAATTTTGTTGGAAATGAACCACAAAAAATATATGTATACTATACATATATTGTATAGTAAAGCCGCGATAATTCGGCACATATGGTGCTCTGGCCTTGTCAAGTTATCCCAAATTCCGACTTATCGAGACACTGCCCCCCTCCTACAAAAATACGACATGATAACTAAATATTAAAAAACTAACATTTACCAGCACTACAGACAAAGATTGAAGCATCATAATAGGTGACACAGAGGCATGGTGCTAGACACAGAGGCATGGTGGGTGACACAGATGCATGGTGGGTGACACAGGCATGGTAGGTGACAGAGGCATGGTAGGTGATGTAGGTGGCCAGATATGTCAAGATTTTATATATCTCGGCATTTCCCGAGTTATACTAATACATTTCGAGACCATATCCATGCCGAGCTATCTAGGGTTTACTGCATGTACTGTATTGTAAGCCATATTTAGATATGGCTCACGAGTAAAAATTGTTTTGAAAATGTCCCTGGATTGTGTAGGATATTAGGAGTCCCTTGCAGAGTTTTCCACATTCTTGTAGTGAATAATAAACTTGTTAAATCTGGTGTAGTAATGTGGTCCTTTTTATAACAAAAAAACTAATACGGTATAAAAAAAACCAGGTTATGCAACTGAGAATTGGTCACTGTCACTGGAGCCATGTCACAGACCCAGGGTCCTATTATGGCAGTAGACAAACTCCTTTAACAATTAAATTTTTTGAGTGGTGTAGATTTTTCTACTTAAAGGACAGGGAGAGAGTTGACTGGTCTCCAACAGGTGCTGTGTATTGTATGGTATTAAAATAAATGTACTGTACTAATGAAAATTTTACCAGAACTAGAATTTTTCCCCTCTTAGAAGAAACTGTTTCATCATATTTGGTGAAGCTACACTTGTAGTACCTTACTTATTGGTTTAACTAATGCTGGTGAAGTACAGTAATAAAACAGTATTGGTGATACAATATAACCTTGTGCTGTACAACCACAGGTTTCAGAAAAATTTTAATATTTTCAGCAAAAATTTTTACTTTGGTGACTGCTTAAACCTATTACAGAGTAAACAAAAATAAACATAAATGTTCATATTTTTCTAACAGTGTCTCGTCCAACAAAGTTTGATCGTGTGGTAAAGCGGGAAGTGTGCCAAGTTAGCAGTAGAGGAACGCGTGTCTACAGCTTTCTAGATGGAGAAGCATCAGAAGCCTCTACCTCCTACCTCTTAGCTCTTACTGAAAGGGTTTGTTGTTTACCATTTTTATGTACAGTACCTTTATTTTAATGTATTGTCTTCCAGGGTGGGTTATGTTCTCAGCCAAAGTCCTGTGTTGGCTGTGAAGTTTTTCGTACACAACTTAACATTAGAGTAATTTAATAATTAAAGGCTGTAAATTCTATTGAGAGAACATTAGACCCTGCTGCCATAGGGCATCACAAAAATTGTGACCAAGTCCCAGGTTGCTGATCTGACTTTCTGCCTCATTTACACAAAATTGCAGGGTCTCAAGTGTTTCTCTTACTTTGGCAACACAACATACATAATGTATATCGTTTCTCACTCTTTATTTATTAATTTAATTTTTTTGTCTTTATGGTTATTATCGTTGTTGTTATTATTATTTTACCATTTGATTTTTATTATAATTTTTATTGATTATTAATTTTTAGTAATTATTATTATTATTATTATTATTATTATTATTATTATTATTATTATTATTATTATTATTACCCCCCAGGCCCTGATGTGGTTCAGTGACCTGTGCCCAGGTGGACTCATCCCTGTAAAAAAAAATTCAAATAAAATACTGTACTGTACTTACTAATACAGGTATTCCTCGACTTATGACCACCCGGACATACGACCGCCGCAGTCGTACGATTTCTTTTTCAAATTACACATTTTCGAGTCCTGATGTTAGTGATCGCGCTGTGTATTGACAAAAATTTTGTTTGTAATTCCCTTTAAAATGGCTGTCAAGCATAAAAGTGAGATTTTTGTGGTGCTGAGAAGAAAAAGAGACCCATTTTAGATTTTCTGTGAATTATTTTTGCATTTTCGACTTAAGACCTGGTCATACAGTGCTGTTTTCTGCAAGACAGGCTCATGCTGGATACCTTCTAGCCACTCGTCTTAATGTAGAGGTGGGGAAACTTTTATGTTTGGAGAGCCAGGTTGAAATTACAAAAGTTCTTCGTGGGCCACCTGTTATTTTCAGTGTTAATAATAATTTATGCAGTTTTAATGGGCATGACTGCTACTCATCCCAAGGCAGTACTGCTTTTATAAGTTGGTTATAATAGTGTATATATGTATTGGTTATATATCTTCTAAATTTCATTCAAGGGTTGTCTGAAAGAGAATCCGAGTCTTACGCACATTCACCTCAAGGCCGAAGTGCATACGCATCGGTGTAGGTGTTCAGAATCTCCTGTAGATTATGCTCAGTCTGAGCAACAAGGGTGAGGTTGTCTACATACTGAAGTTCAGTAATGGAAGCTGCCTACACCTTTGTTCTTGCCTGGAGTACTCTTATTTTGAAAAGACCCCCCTTCACCTGGTACTCGATGTTCACCCCGCCGGCTAAATTGGCACTGGCACGAGTAAGGAAGGTAGCCAAGAAAATGGAAAAGAGAGTTGGTGCCAGTACACACCCTTGTTTAACCTCTGTTTGGATGAGAAAGAATTCAGACTGGGTGCCGTTTTACAGGACACTTCCGTTCATGCCATCGTGGAGTTTCCTCACAATGGCGATGAATTTTGGTGGGTCCACCAGAGGGCTACTCTGTTGACCAAGTCGAAGGCCTTGGTTGGGTCAATGAAAGCCATATACAGGTCACAGCGCTGTTCTCTGCACTTTTCCTGTATCTGGCGGGCAGCAAAGATCATGTAAGTGGTGCCATGTGATGGTCTAAAGCCACATTGAGGTTCTGGGAGGAAGTTTGTGCCTCAGGGAGAAGTCTGTTTAGGAGGACTAGGGCGATAATCTTGCCAGCTACGGACAGCAGCGAGATCCTGCGGCAGTTACCACAGGCTGACCGGTCTCCTCTTTTTCCCATGTACAATATTCTCCAGGAGAGAGTGGAGATGGCTGGCAAGCAGAGGTCCTCCTGCTTTATACACCTCGGCTGGGATTCCATCAGGCCCTGAGGCGTTGTTATATTTCGTTTGTTTGATGGCAGTAGCTACCTCGTCCAGGGATGGAGGATAGCTGAGATGTGTCAGTTCTGGATGCTGAAGGACCTGCTGGGTAATCAGGACATCCACATCGGTGTTTCGGTTGAGCAGTGAATGGTAGTGCTCTTTCCAGTGCAGAAGGAGGCCTTCATCGTCTTTAATTATGAAGTTACCGTTAGTTGAGTGAAGGGGGGCTGTGCCACGAGTGATTGGCCCATAAATTGTTTAAATGGATTTGAAAAATTTGTGCATCTTGTGCTGATCTGCAAATTTTTGTGTTTGACATGCTTCATTTTTAAACCAATCATTCTTTAGATTGCGAAGTTCCTGCTAGGCCGCTGCTTTCTTGCGGAAGGTACAGTCGACCCTCGTTAATTCGGTCTAATAGGGGGGGAAGGGTGTCCGTTTTAGCTAATTGTCCAAATTAACCGATTTAGGGGTTAATATTGCATAATATTGCATTATATTTCAAAGAAAATGCTGTGAGTTTGTCCTTAGCCTTGCATATGTCCGAAACTGTTTGCTTTTTAACACCATACTCGTCACAAACTCTAGCCACCGAAGCACCAGCCTCTAACTTCCTTATAAGTTCCAGTTTCTGGTTCACAGAAAGGGTCACATACCTCCTCTTTGGCGTAATACTCCCCCTTGAAGACATGATGTAAAATACAAGGCTGAAAGATACCTAATCACTGAAATGTCAACGAAAATTGCAGGGCAACACAACACTGATACTCAAATATGGCGCTATGTCAACAATGACTGGCAGTCTGGCGCTTGCACGCCAACTATCGGACAATCCCAGAACCAGAAATTTGATACGAACAGTCCCTCGCTTAGTTCAGATTTCGTCCGAATTATCTGAAATCCAGATTAAAGGGGTCCGAATTAACGAGGGTCAACTGTATCAGCTTTGGTCCTAGACTGAGGGTTGTTCTGCCGTTCAGTAAAAGCAGCAAGTTTATTATCGATGAGTACACTGATTGCCGGGTTATTTTCATCAAACCAGTCCTACTGTATTCTTTCGATCTGGCCGAGGGTCTCTCTACAGGTTTTTGTCATGATAGTGTTGAGAATATTCCATTCGGCACTGGGATTTGGATTGTTTGCTGTTGGGTTGTTTATCAGCCCATGTTCGAGCTGCTCTCTGAAAGCATGTGCTACCGCTGGATCCTCCAGATGCTTAGTGTTAAAACCAGCGGCAACTTTTTGTTGACGCTGTCGCCATCAATTTTTTGGGGCAGGTGACGCAGTCAACTTTTCACCCGAGCGGAGCGTCAAGTGTCAATTTTTTCGTCTGGGAAAAAGCCACCAACCAGCTGTCCAGGTTGGTGGAGAAGTCTGTGCACAAGACTGAGAGCAGCAGCAGCAGCGAGGGAGACGACAAAGACCATGACGTGGAGGACAAATTGTTCCAGGCCCCCCGCAGGAATGAAAAAGACAGTGACCTTTCCAAGCGTCTCCTGTGGGAAAACCGTCGAACTTTCGACAAGGACACCTTCACCAACAAGGCCATGAGGGAGTTGTTCATCAAATACAACACCCCATCCCCTCTAGTGCTGCCCTGGAGCGCATGTTCTCCATGGGCAAGGACGTCTTGAGGCCCGAGCACAGCAGAATGAGCGACAAGCATTTTGAGATGCTAATATTCTTGCGGGGAAACAAATGAATAATTAAAGTGATATAATATAAATCACAATAAATGATTAAAAATTAATGAATATTTTTTAGTTTTGCATATGTTACTCCTATACACGGGAGAATACGTATTTTGGGGCTGCATTTGTATGTCACTGGAAACTCGCTGACGCTAACAGCGTCAATTTATGAAATCGTTTACGCCGACGCTGACGGCATCGAGTTTCTCGGTCGTTTACTCTGATGCTGGCGGCACCACTTTTTTTTCGTTGACGCGTACAACACTGGTTAAAACTTCTTCTGGAGGCTTGCTGCCTTCGCCGTTTTGGGACGATGTGGTGAGAGCTTGGCTCTGACAAGCCAATGATCAGTGTCACAGTGGTCTGAGCCAAGCATGGCACGGGTGATGAGGACATCTTGGCGATCTCTTTCTCTGACAATGACGTGGTCAATGAGATGCCAGTGTTTGGATCGAGGGTGTTGCCACAAACCCTTGAACTTGTCGGCCTGCCTAAACAAGGTATTGGTGATAGTGAGGCTGTGTGCAGCATACTTGCTGAGGAGGAGTAGGCCATTGGGATTACACTTGCCTAGTCTATTTCTCCCCATGACTCCCTGCCAAATGTTAGCATCTCTGCCAACTCTGGCATTGAAGTCACCAAGGAGTACACCCTTGTCTTCTCTGGGGATAGAGGTTAGCACTCTGTCGAGGTCAGCATAAAAGGCCTCCTTGATGTCATCCTCTGCATCCAGTGTTGGGACGTATGCACTGGTGAAGAAGGCATGACCTGAGTGATTCGGTGGGACTCGAAGCGTCATGAGGTGCTCGTTGATCCCAATAGGCATTTCAGTTAACCTGTGTAGGATGCGTTGGCAGATGGCAAAGCCAACTCCATAAATGCGGTTTCTCTCCACAGCAGGCTTACCCTTCCAGAAGAAGGTGTAGCCAGACCCCCGTTCTGTGAATTGACCCTTATCTGGGAGCCGGAACTTGCTAATGGCTACTATGTCGATGTTATACCTAGCCAGCTCTTTTGCCACAAGGGCAGCTCTTCTTTCGGGATGCTCATTTGTGCAAGTATCCAGAAGGGTCCTGACATTCCATGCAGCGACTATGAGAGGTTGTATTATTTGTTTTTGTTTGGATTTGTGATTTTGATTGTGTTTTCGACCGCATAAGGATGACACTTACTGGGTGCGGCTGCCCAGTCAGGTTGTGTTTTTAGGCTGGCTATGTTTAGGGCACCTTTTCTAGCACCCCTCCCCATGTGGGGTGAGCAGAGTGGGTCCTCAAAAGGGTTGCTCAGTCGCACAGACAGGACCGGATTGCACTGCTGCCTAGATCCCAGTACATAAACGACCATCTTATCTGTGCCGCCCATGTCCAGAGTTGTGACTAGAGACTCCTGCTAGTCATCTCTGCCTGTCCCCGTCGCCACTTGTCTGTCACCAGAGGACTTAGGGGGTATAGGGGCTTTGATGATGAGAGGTATGATGAATTGGGTGATGGCTGTGAGTGAGTTGATTTATGTGGTGAGGCAGGAGCACAGGCTGCAACCACACATCTTGGCTCTCCCTTTTCCTGATCCAGTGCTGCAACTATTGCAACAACTGGGGGGAGGGAAAGTTGCAATGGACTGCCGATAGCCCTGTTTGTTCGGCTTCGCCTCGGTAGCCTGTCCATCAGGCATTGCCTTCGTCCGCTCGTATAATTGTTGGTTTTCCATGGTGGTCACCTCTTCCACCTACACCTCTGTTGGGGTCTTGTTGGAGCTCTGTAAGCATGTCTGCCTGATGCGGAGCTCCACCGCAGATTTTTCTTCGTTTGGGTTTTATTCCCATAGCCTTATACCTACCAAGGTTAATCTGCAAGGCAGCGAGGCAATGGCTGGTAGGCGCCACAACATGTCCACATGCCAGTGGGCCTATGCGCTGTCCCTTTGGGGCCCACTGCTACTCTGAGATCCCCTGCTGGTCTAGCCTGGGCCCACGGGAACCCAGTTACAGTGTGTTGCCACGAGGAGGCACAGCAGGAGTCTTGATGGTGAGGAGGCTGTGTACTGACAGGAAAAGACTTGTGCAAGTTGTTTTCCTGTTCGCCACGGGGGCTAGCCAGCGGCGGCAGCTGAAAGCGAGAGAGCAAGCAGTGCTTGCACCCTAACACTGACATAATGCTGCATTGTTTCACCTGTGGTGCCTCTCATGCCTCTCCCTCCACACACACCTCCTCACACACACACCTCCTCCCCTCACACCCTCCCTCCCTCACCTCCCTCCCTCCACACCCTCCCTCACACCTCCCCTCCTCACACACCCTCCCTCCCTCACACACACCTCCCTCACACACCCTCCTCCTCCTTACACCTCCCTCCCTCCCACACACCTCCCTCACACACCCCTCCCCTCACCTCCCTCCCTCACACACACACACCCTCCACACACACACCTCCCCTCACCCCACCTCCCTCCCCTCCCACCCCCCCCCTCCCCCACACCCTCCCTCCCACACACACACCTCTCCTACCTCCCTCCCCTCACACACACACCTCCTCACACCCTCCTCATACACCTCCTCCCTCACACCCCTCCTCCCCTCACACCTCCCTCCACACACACCTCCCTCCACCCCTCCCTCACACAACCACCCTCCCCTCACAACCCCTCCCTCCACACAAACACCCCTCCCCTCACAAACACCACCTCCCTCCCACACACACACCTCCTCACCCTCCCTCACACACACCCTCCCTCCCACACACACCTCCCTCCCTCCCTCACCCCTCCCCTCCCACACACACACCCCTCCCTCACACACCCCCTCCCTCACACACACCTCCCTCCCACCCCTCCCTCATACACACCTCCCTCCCCCACACCTCCCTCCCTCACACACACACACCCTCCCCCTCACACACACACCCTCCCTCACACACAAACACACCCCTCCCTCACACACACCCTCCCTCACACACAAAACACCTCCTCACACACACACACCTCCCTCACACACACACACACCCCTCCTCACACACACACACACCCTCCCCTCCCACACACACACACCCCTCCCTCCCACACACACACACACCTCCCCTCACACAAACACCCCTCCTCCCACACACACACACACAAACACACCCTCCCTCACACACACAACACACCCTCCCCTCACACACAACCCTCCCTCACCTCGCACCCTCCCTCACACAAACACACCTCCCTCACCTAAACCCACCCTCCCTCACACAAACACCCCTCCCCACACACAAACACACCCTCCCTCCACCAACCACACCCTCCTCACCTACCCCCCACCCTCCCTCCCACCACCCCCTCCCTCCCACACACACACAACCCACCCTCCCCTCCACACAAAACACCCTCCTCACACACAAACACCCTCCCTCACACAAACACACCTCCCTCACACACAAACACCCTCCCTCACACACAAACACACCTCACACACAACCCCTCCCCTCACACAAACACCCTCCCTCACACAACCCACCCCTCCCTCACACACCCTCCTACACACAAACCCACCCTCCCCTCACACCCCCTCCCTCACACAACACCCTCCCTCACCCCACCCTCCCTCACACCCACCCTCCCCACACAAACACCCTCCCCTCCCTACACACCTCCCTCACACACAAAACACCTCCCTCACACACAACCACCTCCCCTCCCCCACAAACACACCTCCCTCACCCACACAACACACCCTCCCTCACACAAACACACCCTCCCTCACCACCCCACCTCCCTCACAAACACACCCCTCCCTCCACTGCTCACCTCCCTCCCTCCCACACAAACACACCCTCCCTCACACACAAACACCCTCCCTCACACAAACACCCTCCTCACACAAACCACACCTCCCTCACACACACCCTCCCTCACACACACACACCCTCCCTCACACACAACACACCTCCCCTCACACACACCTCCCTCACACACAAACACACCTCCCTCACACACAACCACCTCCTCCACAAACACCCTCCCTCACACACAAACACACCCTCCCTCCTCACACACCTCCCCTCCCTCCCTACACCCTCCCTCCACACACACACAACACACCCTCCCCTCACACACACAAACACCTCCCTCACACACACACAACCACCTCCTCACACACACACAACACACCCTCCCCTCACACACACACACACACCTCCCACACACACACCCTCCCTCACACACACACACACCCTCCCTCACACACACACCTCCCCTCACACACACACACACACACAACCCTCCCTCACACACAAACACACCCCTCCCTCACACACAACCCCCTCCCTCACACAACCCACCCTCCTCCTAAACACCCTCCCTCACACAACCTCCTCACACAAACCCCTCCCTCCTGCCTTACACACACCCTCCCTCACACACACACACACCCTCCTCACACCTCCACACAAACACACCCTCCTCAACCACCTCCCTCACACAACACACACACACACACACACACAAACACACCTCCCTCACACAAACACACCTCCCTCCCACACACAAACACACCTCCCTCCCACAACACACCCTCCCACACACACAACACACCCTCCCTCCCCACACACCTCCCTCCCCAACACACCCCTCCCTCCCACACACAAAACACACCCTCCCTCACACCAACACCCTCCCTCACCCACACCTCCTCACACACCTCCCTCCCCCACCACCTCCCTCACACACAACACACCCTCCCCTCACACAACACCCTCCCTCACACAAACACACCCTCCCCTCCACACACACCCTCCCCTCCCCTCACCCTCCTCACACACAAACACCTCCCTCACAAAACACACCCTCCCTCCCAACCCTCCCTCCCACAAACACACCTCCCCTCCCACACAAACACACCCTCCCCACACCCTCCCTCCCCCACTTTACACCCTCCCTCACACACAAACACCCTCCCCCTCACACCCCTAACACCCCTCCCCTCACACACAAACCACCCTCCTCCACACACACACACCACACACCCTCCTCACACACAAACACACCCTCCTCACACACACACACCCTCCCTCACACAACCACCCTCCTCACACACAACACCCTCCCTCCACCCACACCTCCTCACACAAACACACCCTCCCTCCTCCACCTCCCTCACACACACAGACCCTCCCTCACCTGCACCCTCCCTCACAAACACACCTCACACACACAACACACCCTCCTCCCACACACAAACACACACACACACACACATCCCTACTGATATAGTGTTTGGTGACCATATTGGCTCCTCTGAGTGAAGGGGTTAATGGTCACTGGTTGTTACCCAGGGCACCCTCAGTTGAGTAGTGCTGACCACACAGCCTCTTTGTGTACCAGTGTTTTCAGTGTGTTTGATCATTTCCTAATGTACCATGAAACTTAAAGGACTTATTTTCACTTTCTTTTATTCCTAACATCATCACTTATCTTCAAGCTTCAGTAGGGAGTCCTGACTTACAGAAAGGCTTTCATCGCCTTAAATTTTCTTGCAAGCTGCAAAACTATCGTGTCACCATATGTCATCTCTTCAAATGCTTTTATGAAAAAAGGAGGCATTAAAGGCATACATCCTAACAATGGGTACATCTGTGATTTTTTATTTCTTCAGCCTGTCAAGGGAGCTGGGGATGGCAGTGAGTTTGGTGTAGCCTTCATTGATACCAGTATAGGAACATTCACGTGGGTCAGTTTACTGATGACCGCCATGCATCCAGGCTGTGCACCTTGATGGCTCATCACCCACCTGCCTCCAGGTAAGTTGATTATTTCCTATTTTGTCAATAAAAAAATTGTAGCCTTTGTTAATCTTACATACAGTATCTCTAAAAAGTATCTGCCAGGATGGGGCCGATGATTTCCAAAATGCTACATGCAACACTTGATGCCCCTCGAGGGTTGGTATGAGTGTCTCTGTGGCATACTGATCCTACTATGTTTAGAACCGAACTCCATATTAATTACATCAAAATAAAGACACTTGCATTACAGTAAACCCTCGAAGATCTGGACCACCTGTGCGAAAAAACGATTGTCCGTATCTTCCGGCAAATGCACTAATGTATAAAAATGATAAATAATTATACAAAAAACACCAAAAATACACTACCGTATTTTACAGAATATAAGACGCACCCCCCCATTTAGCAAGGAGTATTCTGAAAAAACTTTGGTGTGTATTTTCCTCCTTTAGCCATAGTTTACTTATAATAATATATACAGTACCATGAAATGTGAGTAATAATACAAATAATACCAATAAATAAGTTGCAACAAACAATACTGTATTGCCAAATTGGTAAATAAACCCAAATGAAAGTTTAACACAGTCACCAGTTGCATACACTCCCTGCTTCACCATAGTAATGAGGACCAGCTGGGACGCCAATTCCCTGCGCCCCCCTACACTCTGCGCTCTCCTCCTGTTACGAGTTTGCCTTTAGGACAATTATTATTTCTACTTACATATATATACCTGAAAATACGAGTTGAAAAACAACCATAACACCTCACAGCTTGGCTCAGTAGCCTGGTGGTTTCATTGATGAGTCTAACCTGGCTACATTGTCATGATTAATTACTATTAAGCACTACTCTTTCAGTTAACATTAATAATAACGGTAAAGGCAGTGAAATATGGCAGGGAGCGAGGAGAGCAGACGATGCTCTAACTTGTGGTCACTCACTCACTCCCGTTGCCAGGCATGTGATTGAAATACGTATGGGAGGAATACATATCTTGTAGTCTAATTTGAAAATGGTGATGGGCACAGTGATAAACAAATTATATAAACCATTCATTGACCTACAATAACGGAATAAGAAACATTATATCGTTACTGGAGTGAATGAAACAATATTCCCACAAAAAACAATTGACAACTTTTATGTTTCCCGTCTCGGGCGCCTGCTGCCCGCTGCGCTGACATCTTAGTTACACGGGCGTGAGATGATCTTTGCTCTGTTTCGGGAATGATTCTTAGGTAGGCTTCTTAGCCCCCAGAACTCCCTATGTCCGAATCTTCCGAAATCCAGATTTACCAGGTCCAAATCTTCGAGGGTTCATTGTACTCTTTATGTTAAATTATACAGGGCAGGAATGTGCATATCCCAATATCTGTCATCCGTGGTCTCATAATGTTCACACAGAGTGTGGACTGGTACTTTTTGAGATACTGTACCAGTGTCATATAATGAATAGAATACTGTATTTCATATTTGAAATCAGTTATGGAAGGTATCCTTGTCAGACACTTTAAAAAAAAATTATCAGAATGATTTGGTTATTAAAGTTGGAATCTATCTACAGATTCTCTTTGAAAGAGGACAGTTGTCACAAAAAACACAAAAGGTGGCCACTTCAGCTGTACCTTCCAATTTACTGGAAAATTTAACACCAGAGAAGGAGTTCTGGACAGCCACCAAAACCCTAACCTTCTTGGCTAAAGGAAATTACTTCAAAGATGAGGGGGGAGATTCATCTGTACAGTGGCCAAAAAATAAAAAGATGATGGATGACAGTAAGTAGTTAGTGTTTGTCTTTGGGGGATGGTTGACTGGTTGGTGTCTGGTGTTCATAGCGGTAATAAGTAGAGTTACTGTTGTGTCCATTGATAGGTTGTCATCTTTGTCAGTACCACTTGGTCATATGCCACACTTTTCTTTTTTCCAAATTGTTAGTTAGTTACTTCTATTTTCTCACTATACATCATGACTTCTCCTATTTTAAGATTCTGTCTGTAATTGGTCCCTATACAGTACCATTACAGTACCATAATGCATGTTAGCTGAAGCAGTCCTTATTGTTTTCATTATTCTTATTTATTAATTTATGCAAGTGAAATCTTTTTATGTGTAAGAGAAAAAATCTTTTACAATTTCATAGCAATGTGTTTCATGAGTTCATGCTTGTAGCACGAATTGCCATTAAAATATTTCAGGTTATTTCAGATTCATCAGTTCAAATCAGAAATTGTTCACAGCAAAAATATTATTGATTATATAGTTTAGTGTACAGTATTTGTGCATTATGCAATGAACCATTCATTACAGGTGACTCATTTGGTATTACTGCTCGCCCTAAATACACTCTTGCTGTGTCTGCTCTGGGTGCACTTATCTGGTATCTGTCGGATTGTTGTCTAGAAGAACAGCTGCTCACAAGACGTAAGTTTGAGGAATATAACCCTCTTGATGCTGTGGCTGTCTCTAGAACCAAGAACTCCTCTGTTCCAGAATTCATTAGTGGAAGATACCATATGGTAAGCTGTTATGCTGTTATCTGGTGTATTAAGTATTTATCCTGTACTCATTAATGTTTGAAAATGTTGTCACTTTAAACGACATATAACATGTTTAACTTTTTAATAATTCTACAAGATACTGTACCTGTATATTATATCTGTTCACTTCAGTCGTACAGCTCATGAAAGCTGATAATTTAATTAGGTAATCCTGTATAAGACACTACTAGATTATACCTAAAAACATTTGTCATCCAGAAATGGTACAGCAGTGGTTGTTGACAGGGTGGTCACGTGTACTTGTTAGGTCCCAAATTAGCTGAACCAAATTAACCCTTTGTGTATGGGCTCCCCCCTGAGCTGAATAAAATCATCTGACCTTAGCCAAATAAAATGGGGTTAATGGGATTTGACCCAAGTGATATTTCATCGATTCATTTTGGAACAGCTTAAGGTCAATAATGGTTGGTTATGAGTTATAATTCTTGTTGTCATTTAAGACTTCCAACTTCTGTTAAAAAACCAATGGAAATACCTATAAAGTTCATGCCTGAGTTAATTTTGATGATGTTACCTTTGACATTTTGGAACACTTTCATGGGTCATGTTAAAGTCTCTGTCATAAATTACGTGCCTTCAATAAAAACTTAAGAAAACACTTACCATGATATCTTCCTCTTTATTATTAACATCTGATTTATGGGAAAATAAAGCAACTGTAGCATCACAAAAACATTTTACTCTAAATTTCCAAAGCAAAATTCATTTTCTGAGCAGTTTGCAAGTCCAGCACTGCCCGGTTCACAAGTAACTTTGCAAAATAGTACAGTATGGACCTGCTGCTCATGCTTACCTTTAAGGTGTTTCTGAGAGAGAGGACAGTCTGTACAGGTCATGACACAACTGGAACTGGTGTGAGAGTGTGGTGAGTGGGACACCAGATGGACAGGGCTCATGAATAAGGCAGATTATAGAGGCCTGACACTAGTGTTCAGCTGATTCAGAAGTGTCTGAGGGCTGTCTACAAACAGGGCCACACCCTGTTTGCAGTTATACCAAACTGTTGGTGCAACTAAGTAGTACACCATCATTTGAACCACTATGACTAGACATTAGTGGAAAATTACAAAAGAAGCTGCAATGGCCGGCCAGTGGGTCATTCTATCTTACAATATTTGCGGTCTTGAAGCTCAACAAAGCAGCAGTTCACTGGGTTGGTTTTCAATTTGTGCATTAACCGTTCTGTCAGTCCTCTGGATGTGTTAGTCAACAAACCCAATCTTAATGGACACATTCCTGGCGGGCAATTTAGCAAATTAGGTTTGGGGCTATTGGACGCTGGGCCCATTTCAGCTGCAACTGTGACAACCAGTCTAGTCATCACAGCATCATAATACAAATTACAAAAAGTGATAATGTTTTAACTTTAAATAAATTCAGGCAAGTTTTTTATTTCAACTTTCAATAATTTCAGGTACTTGATGGAACAACACTTCGTAACTTAGAAATATTTGAGAACACTTCGGGTGGCACAGAAGGAACACTTATTGACAGACTTGATCGTTGTTCCACTGCATTTGGTAAGAGGTAAGTCATTTGAATACACTAGATTTGCTTTTATATACAGTAAAGCCTCCGATAACAACGGTTCGACCAACAACTTTTCATATTTCAAACCCTTGTTAGTTTAGGACCCAATTAATTTATTTACGTCCTTATTTCATTCGTATTTACGACCAAAATATAATAAAAATCACATAGAATTAAATTTTAATATAATTAAATCCCATCTGTATTATAAAAAAATACTGTAAAATGAAGAGCTTTGCGCAAAGAAGCTGCTCCTTAATGAGTGGTAAACAATAGCTTGGCTGGCCTTTTTTTTTCACGATTGGAACAGGAGAAAAACTTTCTGTTTTACAGCATTTTGCATCCCTATTCAACATGAGCAAGTGATGGTAGAGTAGGTTCAAAAGCTAATAAAAAGTGTATAAGCTTAGCTGAGAAACTAGATGTGTTAGAATGATATGAAAAAGTGAGAGGTCTGTGGATATTATATGGAGTAAGCAATGAACATATTTTCTGAAGTGGATCCATTAACAGAACAAAGTATTAAATTTAAATAAACACAAATGACCTCTACATAATGAGAAAAGAAAGCAGCTGTGCAAGGTTCTTTCGACAGCTTTATTATTCGAAGGCCTAAACCGTCAAATTCAGCATCATAAGCAGCTTCAACATCAACTTCATGTTCAATAACAGTTTCAGCAACAGCTTTATGGAAAGCTATAGCTTCAGCCAGAGTTGAACCTGATGACTTTGTCATCTGAGTAAAACCACCTCTATTCATTGGCTGTCCTTATGGTTTAGACTTTACCACCATTGGTGAGTAGAATTTTTGTTTTTACATCTGTAATATTTTAAAATATATATGAACAGAAAATAAGTATTGCTTTATATTCATGAGAGAAATGACTTATATGTTTTCACATGTACTCACTTACTGTTCATACGCTATGCTCCCAATTGTCTTGCCTTATTTCTTTACCATTAGTGGTTAGCTACTTCTAGTGTTCCATTTATTAACATTAAATAACATTACTTAAAACATACATACGTATTAAATTTTTTTAATTAAGTTTACTACAGCTACAACCAGGGTCTTATTTTCTTAAGTTTCTTATGTCGAACCATCGCACTCACTAAAACACGTCTTCTTTCTCTTGTGTGTTTATTCTGATGATTATGAATGAATTGTACTGTTCATCTCGCATATATAAAGATCAATTCAATCAAATACAAAAGACAGGAGCGAGCAACAGATGAACCTTGTAGGGGGGGCTGTGACAAAGAATTATGCACTCAGCCTGCCCTGGGATGAAGGGGAGGGGGTCATCCACAAGATGCATCAGCCAATTACAGATGTCCCATGAGATCACATGACAGCATTAGCCAATCATTGCGAGTGAGCCTGCACCTAAGAATCCTCGGCGTTCTCAGCCTGCCACACATGCACACGCAAGTGGACCGGGAGCATGGCGCAATATCTGCCATTTTTCTATACATGTTATAGTACGTACAGTATTTACCCATGTAATATTTTATGTTCTCAATGATAAAACATACACCATAAGTGGCTGATCATATGATAATATGTACAGTAATAATAAATGTTGGAGGTATGTGTATTGCTGTGTTGGTATTAATAACTAGGGCCCTTATCTCAAAATTTATAAAATACATCAATGAAAGTAAATGGAAATTAAAAGTTATAGATTTATAAATTACAAAAAGTTGGATGGTCCATCGTTATTTTTATTTTTATTCTTTTCATAAATACTGTATACGTACGTATACAGTAGTACCTATTCTGCGGTCAATTGAACCCACGGGGTACCACGGAAAGTGAAAACCGCGTAAAGTGAGCAACAGAACATATGGGATTAATTCCAATAGAGGCTGGCCCGATCCCCAAACTCCATTTTTCCGACACAATACCTATGTTTGTAGTAAAATAACATCTTAATTTATGATGGTATGCACACAATTAATATTTAAGATAAATACAGTTTGCCAGGTTAATGTCCATTCAAATAATGGACTGTCCCCCCCCCCTCTCTCTCTCTCTCTCTCTCTCTCTCTCTCTCTCTCTCTCTCTCTCTCTCTCTCTCTCTCTCTCTCTCTCTCTCTCTCTCTCTCTCTCTCTCTCTCTCTCTCTCTCTCTCTCTCTCTCTCTCTCTCTCTCTCTCTCTCTCTCTCTCTCTCTCTCTCTCTCTCTCTCTCTCTCTCTCTCTCTCTCTCTCTCTCTCTCTCTCTCTCTCTCTCTCTCTCTCTCTCTCTCTCTCTCTCTCTCTCTCTCTCTCTCTCTCTCTCTCTCTCTCTCTCTCTCTCTCTCTCTCTCTCTCTCTCTCTCTCTCTCTCTCTCTCTCTCTCTCTCTCTCTCTCTCTCTCTCTCTCTCTCTCTCTCTCTCTCTCTCTCTCTCTCTCTCTCTCTCTCTCTCTCTCTCTCTCTCTCTCTCTCTCTCTCTCTCTCTCTCTCTCTCTCTCTCTCCTCTCTCTCTCTCTCTCTCTCTCTCTCTCTCTCTCTCTCTCTCTCTCTCTCTCTCTCTCTCTCTCTCTCTCTCTCTCTCTCTCTCTCTCTCTCTCTCTCTCTCTCTCTCTCTCCTCTCTCTCTCTCTCTCTCTCTCTCTCTCTCTCTCTCTCTCTCTCTCTCTCTCTCTCTCTCTCTCTCTCTCTCTCTCTCTCTCTCTCTCTCTCTCTCTCTCTCTCTCTCTCTCTCTCTCTCTCTCTCTCTCTCTCTCTCTCTCTCTCTCTCTCTCTCTCTCTCTCTCTCTCTCTCTCTCTCTCTCTCTCTCTCTCTCTCTCTCTCTCTCTCTCTCTCTCTCTCTCTCTCTCTCTCTCTCTCTCTCTCTCTCTCTCCTCTCTCTCTCTCTCTCTCTCTCTCTCTCTCTCTCTCTCTCTCTCTCTCTCTCTCTCTCTCTCTCTCTCTCTCTCTCTCTCTCTCTCTAAGCTCGCTGGCTCCTCCCTTTTTGAGATATGTTTGGGTGAAAACACTAGATTTTAAGGTATACTCATAAATAATACCTCACTAAAGTTAGGATAATATAATTGACATTTCTGGATTCCTTGCAGGTCAAGGAATATTTTGAATGTAAACTTCATATATTTTGCAGAAAAGATAAAATATTTGCTTTGTGTAAACCAAATTCTTACATTAGATCTAAAATTTGTATGACTAATGCAAAATCCATGATGTTTATATTCAAAATGATCATCATATTGTAAGAATTCCAGCAATGTAAATTATATTCTGGTCGGGTAATTTGTATGAATTTTATGAGCTAAATAAAAAAATTATACTTCACCCGTGTATATGAGTAGGTGCACTGCGTAAAATGAAATTCCGGTTCTGGCGAGGTACCGCATAAATGTAGAATAGCGTAAATCGAGGTATTACTGTATTAAAAAAAATTCCCTGAAAATCTCTTGATTTTATACAGCATTGCTCATTAATGAGTCATCCATCATGCCATAAGTTGATTTGTGTTTCATGAACTATACACGCTACCTGACCTAGCTTGGAGAAGGACGTGCCCTAAGTGCTCGTGTTAGTGACCATAGGAAATGGCCGCCGGGGATCGTTGTGTTGTGGGGGAAGAGGGACGGTGTGTGAGGAAAGACGACCCCCTGGCAACTCTGTTAAGTCAGCTGGAGCAGTTTAGGAAAGAGATAGACACTTTAAAGGGGGAGAACGAAGCCCTCAGGACTGACCTCCTCCAGGTAGGTGTCCTGCCTAGCAGGACACCTACCTGAAGGAGGGTCAGGAGGAGCAGGCGTGGAGAGTGGTTGTCTCCAAGGGGACTAGGGTCAGACTCAGGAAAGTTGACCAGGGTGTGGAGTGCAGTAACCCCTACCAAGTGTTGGAGGAAGAGAAGAGGATGGACGGTGTGATGCCAGGAGAGAAAAGTGCAGTTGTTCAGACCGTGCCCAGTGGTAAGGTCGTGGTAGTTGGGGACAGCCAGGTGAGGTTCTTAGATAGGAATTTTTGTGCAAGAGGTAAGAAACATAGGACTGGGGTGTGTTTTCCTGGGGCTGGGATAGGGCATGTAGCTGAGAGGATAGATAGGGCTCTGTCAGGGGAGGGTACCAAGCCAGTGGTGTGTCTTAGTGTAGGAGGTAACGACATAGGAAATGTTGGGAGTGAGGAACTTTTCAAGGGGTATAGGGAGGCGCTGGGGAAAGTTAGAGATCGGGGAGGGATCCCGATAGTATGTGGTGTCTTGCCTAGAAGAGGAGTTGGTGGTGAATAGTTGTCAAGGGCAGTTTGTGTCAACGGCTGTCTTGACAGATATTGCAAGTCAATATTGGTCCCATTCATTGACAACTGGGACAACTTCTACGGCAGAGGGGACCTTTATGCTAGGGATGGGGTGGCAACCCTGGCTGGCTCTCTTGAGAGGACAGTTCAAAAGATGTCGAAGTCTTTAAACTGCTAGGGGAACATGTGAGCACGGGGGTGGAGGAGACTGCGGTGGGAGCAGGTAAACAAAGTGAAAGGTTACAGGGAAATAGTGCTAGGAATTATGACAAAACTAAATTAGGCAGGGAGTTCAAACCAAAACTCGACAAAGAGAGGACTCAGAACACGACTAACTTAAATGTCTACTACGCAAACAGTAGAAGTATGGGAAACAAAATGGATGTAATCAGGGCGTTGGTATGTACCGAAAAAATCGATATGATAGCATTCACCAAAACATGGATAAAACCCTAGACTCCCGTGAGTTACCTATCGAATACCAAATTGCAGGTTACAAATTATTCCATACCGATAGGCAGATTAGAAAAGGAGGCGGAGTAGCAATCTATGTCAGGGATAATCTGAAGTGTGAAATAAATAAGAAAATAAAAACTGAGCGGTATACAGAAACAATTTGGATAGAATTAATCGATGGTAGGGAAAAATTAATCACAGGAGTAATATATAGACCTCCTAATCTTGATGGAGTTAATGAACGACTTATTTGGGATGAAATGCACAGGGCTTCCATCCATAGGAAAGTCTGTATAGTAGGTGACTTTAACTT